TATGAACTTTGCTTCTTCCGCTCTCGTCAGTTCGTTTAGTTCATTCCACCATTTCGCGAATATTCCACCCTTCGTTTAATGTAATTACAATTATAATAAACGTCTTTTCTTGTTCTCACACCAAAGCCTCAGAGGTCATTTTGCTCTTGGGGCTATGCATGAATAACCCAGTACATGAGGTTTTCCCAACATTGGTTTTTTTGGAGAAAGTATCTCGGAAAGTAATCCTTCTCGAATAATATTTTTCGTCTGTCTGTCGCCAATTCTACTCAGAAACTTGCCGAATTGTTTCGCACACTCTTTGGCAACTATTCTCTCGTTACTTCGTCAAAGATTCTGTTTGAGGAGCATTGATATCTTATGTAAACAGCAACGATTTATTTAACGTTCACTCACACACGGTGTATTCACTTTTCGAGAAATGAATTGACACTTTCCTTATATGGAATGCGTTAATATTGGAAGCGGACTAAACATTCTTTCTCTATTTGACACTTTTTATTTGTTACTTCAACTGTAAAATGTTTCGTTTCAAGTAATTCCAGTCCTAGGCGGCAATGACCTAGAAATAACTTAGTCATGGTAAATTAAGTGAGAAACTAAGATGAATGAATTGTTTGAAACTAAAATATTACGAAAATACGTGGAATCCACAAAACAGAAGAAACTTTGAAATTTGTCTCTGTCCTCAATGAGATACTCACAAGTTATCAAATCGCGTTTTTTACTAGAGATATCATAAACATTCCGGGGAGGTGCATATGATATGCTCAAGTTCAGGTGAAAACACCTTATCCTTCCTCTCACGTGAACCTTCGATTTTGTAGGTACGTGTGGCATATACCCGACAGATAAACAACAACTAACCCAGCTAATGCCGCGCAGGAAGCTGAAATAAAAGCATCAGGCAGCTGTGCAACGTCTTCCATTTGGAAAATTCGTGGCAAGTAACTTCCTATGTATGAAAAGCTGAAACTCATTTCTTTTGGTCGGAATGACCACCAATAGACCCGTTTAGCTGTCTTGAGTTTCCTCAGTGAATTGGATATTTCATTCATAACGTCATTCTTCAACTGAATACCTGTATTTTCTGTAACTCTTTACCTCTTAAATGAAGTTAACTACTTCCACATTCGTACTTTAGAACAAAAAGTTACCGTCTTCAATTTTGAGGTTGTTGTGTCAAAAACGTCTTCCATTCCCTTTCCTTATATTAATTAGTAAAGGACAGAAACAGTCTGACAATTAGATGGCTTCCGGCAGATAAAAATGTCCATATTCGAGGTTATGCGTTATGAATTATACTTATAAATTGTGAATCATAACTCTGTTAAACGGTTCCATTGAAACCAGTGTTGCGAATTTTCATGATTTGAATATAAAAGTTAGGAATTATCCGTAGAGATGTGCTTATGTATCCGATAAACCGTCTCAAAGCTAAAAGAATAGCATTTTAGTTATCCTTTTCGCTCATAAAGCATTGTGTTAATGGGCACTTTTATTAATTGGACGAACGTTCATTTTTCTCTGTGATGGAATAAATAAATTAGAATAACGCCTCCTTGTGATGTGGACGGCGATATGATGGCACTTGTTTGGGAAGTTGGTTGTCCGGCATACTAAGCACGTGAGAAACCAGACCACCGAAGTTGCTTGCAAAGCTGTTTATTCATGAAGTTTAAACCTAGTTGCGTTGATTGGGCATTTAATGAAAGCGAATTTATTTCAGAAATATATTTTTATGTCGCTGTTTGTCCCAATAACGATAATTTATTAACCATTGGAAATACTGAAACTTCTGAATCAGTTCTCGTTAGCCTCGGGTCACTATTAATTGCTAAGCAAGAAATAATACTCTTATATTATTGCACAGTTCAAAAGACAAGCTAAACTTTCGCCAACAATGTCAACCGTGGCGATTCATTTTTTAACCTCATTCAAATTCATCTAATTAATTAATTCAAAAATTCATACACACGAGAGGATTTCACAATCATCTGAGTTGGGATTTTCCAAATGAGTTGGTAGCGATTCATATATTTGAAAACATCTCTTTTGGCAGGAAAAGGAACGGGAAACAGAATCCGTCGTTGACTATAGTGATGTAATATCAGGAGTTCATTTGAAGGTTTCAGTCCCCTATAAAACTGTAAACTTGTTAAAACACGATTTTAGATTTCCCAAAATGCCTTTATTTATACACCAACTTCAATAATTCACTCCACAAGCATACAACAAACAGATTGTAGAATGCCCACCCCGCCGACGCGAGTCATCCCTTTCGATATATCGTTGACCCGCCGTAGGTACCACAGAAGGTCTGCTCATCCTGTCAGCTATTTACAAAAGGTCTGCTCACATTTATTTGAGTCGTAACAAAAATATTCAGCGATCAAAAATCCACAGCGGTTTTTGCGGCTGTGGAATACGAATATGAGGATAAATTACTGATATCTTGATGGGATGAGATAGGTCTCCCAAAATGGGCAAAGGGTGTCCGAAAATGGGTCATTTTTTTATTATTCCTGAAAAACGCTTTAAATTTGTGTATGTATGAAAGTAGATAGTTGTAGACATATAAAAACCGAGAAAGTCTGAATTCCCCATAACATAAGTAAATGTTGTTGGAATAAATGTGAACTTTTAGGGATAATTTTTATGATTTGGTGATATTTTTCTAATTATTATCTTTAAATTGTTGGAAATATTGTTTTTTTTTCTCATTTGAAGGTCACTTAAAATTTTCATTAGGTCTGTAAAATATTAATAATTCTGATTTACTTTAAGACTGAGTAATTCAAAATGAGATATGCGTTGCAAATATTTTGGTTTACAAGACGTTAATATGTTTTCTTACTTTTTGGGCCTGCCTGAATTCGTTGAAGGAATCGATATCCAAGCAAAAAATATGTTTGTGTTTTAATACGAAAGATAACTGAGAAATTGGGGTTATCAAGAGAAATTGTAAATAACTGTTGTAAAATAACGATATAAAAATAGAATTCACTGAAGCGAATTTCTTTAGATTGAAAGATGATCATAAAGAAAATATGCTTGATGTGTTTATCATGACTTTTCTTTATTATGTCCAGATTCACGCTTGTTATTAGGTACTGTTGCGGTATACCAAAATACTCAGTAATCTTCCTTTTTATGGTTGAACTTTTATTTCATGCCATACTGCTTATGATAATTCCTCCATCTAAATACATTTTTCACCTATACACTTCCTGTTACTCCCCTTCCTGTTCTTTTAATTGTCACTGACACTCTGCCACATTCAATACAGTAATGCCTCATTAATTTTTTCATTGTTTGTTCTTCTATCTTGGGTATTGTTACTACTGTGGCTATAAATTGAATTTTGTATTCCGCCCATTTCTTGTTGAATTTGTTCATTGTTTTTATCTTCGTTTCTGAAACACTTTATTTTACTATCTATCTGCTCTTTAAATTATTCAGCGAACTGTTAATTTTCTCTCTAACATTATGTTTTGTTATGATTTTGTGGATTTCGAATCATTAAACTTTGTTTTCCTTGAATTTTTTGGAAACTTTCATCACTCGTTACCACATGCTGCAGTTTGTAACCTCAAAGAATCATATTTTATTTTCAAACTAATCTTTTTCTCATCTGGTAGAAACTGAATGCAAAAACTTTCAAGACTCAAGGAACACAGCCTGTTCGTGTACGAGACACTTTGCCATGATCGCATTATTTATTTGGTGTCAGAAATTATTGAACCATCCCGGTACACTTCATAGCCTAAATATTTATGCATAAAGGAATCAGTGAAAACAAAAACGTTTTTGACCAAATTCGTCGGTCAAATCAGGGCCTATCACATGGCTTTCGGCGGTATCTTGAACCTGTGCAGTGTTGCCGTTTCGTACATTTTTACTACCATCTCGGATTATTTGTTCCAGAGGAAATTTGTCTAAAAAATCTGTCTGTAATCTGTTTTTCCGTTAATCAGCTAATCTACTGAGGAAAACGATGATTTTCGATTTTTTATGTAGAAAGAGCATTCCAAATTTTGACATGATCCTGCCAACGCACAAGTTGTCAGAATTCTCGTCTAGGTCCAAAGCGTTCTCTATCCGGATATCAATTCAATTAAACTCATGTAAGAGTTTGAATGCAAAATTGCTAATCACAAGCTCTGCTTAGGTGATTTCCCCCTAGTGGTTTTTATAGTTACTTTGATTTATCTATTTGTATATGACATGGAAAAAAATATTACGATTTACACATTGTGAAAAATTACTGTGAACTTACGGATGAACTAGAATTAGAAGTTTGCTTAAACTTCTGCTGTGAATTCATCCTTTTTGAATTGTATGAATTCATTTTGTTGTTGTTTTTCCAGCATCAATAAAAAAATCATTTTTCAAAAAATATCCCAACTTCATGTTAATGTTAAACAGATTGATAAATTTCATCTAGCATTTGCGTTAACTCACTGTATTCCTGCAATTAGTGTTGTCTATTTCAATTTTCCTCTTGTTTTTGACATTCATATTAACTTCTAGCTTTCACATAGATAACTAATATATTGAATTTACGACATTTGAATATATGTTGACATTTCTGAAATGCACAATTTTATTCATTTACAGTCGCTCCTTCAATATCAGCAGAAACCATACTACGGTATCATTAGATAGGTATGAGGAAAAAGCATGCAAGCATCAATCTTGAATAAATGAAGCGTACATCATTCGGCGATTTTATTTAATTAAAAATGGCAACATCACGAGCATGATTATCTCTTTCAGCCTTGGTCCCGAGTCTTCAACTCTCGAAAGTAGAAAAACGTCGGTCGTCTTCGATGATCAGACGGAGCGAAGGGAGCAACTGGCCCCGATAGGTATACCCGAAGGCTGTCAGACTAGACTAGACAGGAATAAATCCATATCGTGTTAGTGCAGAAACGCAAAGTGCAAATGTGGAAAGAGAAAGGCCGTTTTTACTTTTTGACGAAGCGATTCCATCTCACCTGATCGTTTGTGTGATAACATCGCATTAGGGTATCGCACGAAGAAGCGGTGGGTAGAACGAAGCGACAGCGATGGATATCGAGACATTAATATCACAGCAGCAATACAGGAGACATCTGTAAACAATGGCAGTCAGTCGTAGACGGGGCACAGACACTTCGAATCGCGGACGAACGCAACAAACAACAGACAGCCGAGAAAGACGAAAGTGTCTGGGGTGACCAGCGAGCGGAGTGAACTGAACAGAGAACAGATCACTTTCTCCGCTGCCTGCGCGATAAACACCGACCGAAACACCACAATCGTACCCTCCTACAGCGGTGCTTCCCAAACACTGGCGGCAATGCCGGTCCTACGCGCGACTCTCTGCCGACTTGATTAGCATAACCGAATACGAATTCTGTGCCGAATACTTGCCAGCCGTCCCGTCCGGCAACACTTTGACAATCTCACACGGACACGGACCTATTTTCTATCGAAGCCGGCTCGCCTTGCGTCATTCATTTCTGCTGGCTATCTAGCTCCACTGATGGGAATCTATTGTCTTCTCTAGATTCACTTTTATTGCTCACAGGGATGTATTGAGGAGGAGCGATCTCGATCAGCGGCGCACATTCGGCTTCGCGGAGTCATTCGCCTATGAACGATAATATTAAACCGCACTTCGACCACATCATAGGAACGATTTCAACCTGAAAATCCGGAACAGAAATATATATTGCAAGTCTCAAAAAAGATTTGAACATATTTAAAACAGGTATATGGAATGATCAAATGTTGTTTTTGTTGGGAAAGGGATCAAAATATATGTATAAATAAAATCAATAATGTTTTATTAAAGAAGAAAGTAATACAAATTATGAAATTTTGACACAACAACGAAAATTAATTGGCGCTCCGGGGCGACTTCATTGATTCCAGTGGCGCATTTGCTTTTTCACCTGCAGGAAAACTCGGAAAAACCTACAGCACCACATCGTCTGAAGATCTTGATCTACCAATGTCCTCTCTCTTATAAAACAAAATGTAGGGTGTGTCCAGAGGCTCCAATAGATTCAATACATCGCCAGAACACTTCGTGACACGACTATCGTCAAACTTAAACCAATCCGTTTTGTCTTTGACCAAAGCGTAATAATGACCAAATTCAATGCCAGAACCACAGTGAACAATGACTGCATGAATATTATAATAGTGGTCTGCTAGATTGAAATGTTCATCTATTTCGAACCTTCCAATGAGTTTCTTGCTTCCGTCAGAGGTTGAGTCTTGTTTGAAGATCTTCACTGCTATTATTAGATTGACTGGAGCCTCAGCTATAGTTGTTTCCTTATAACAGTCAGTTAGTTTGGCGCATGTTTGACAATACAGTCGATCATCACCTGTTAAAAATTCCATTTTCAGATGATTTAACAATAAGCTTTGCACGGACTGGTTATTAGTCGTATTAGGAAAAGCTAGATGAAGTTCCAGAAATTCACATTAGTTTTTGCTACCTGCAAAGTAAAAAAGTAAGGATTTTTCCAGCAAAAATCAATTGCAAGGATTGTTCGAAATGTTATACAGAACAAACGGGACGTTACCTAAAACACAGATTGTCTGAACATAATGATGCAAAAAATTGAATTTTGCCAACCCAATACCCCACGTTAAACACAAGAGAAAATAATCACGGTTTTGACTTTGCAAACCCCAGTATTTCAATGTTCAACCTTTATTTGGTAAACGACTGTTTAGTGAGATGATCGACATTTTCAAACAGGAGAGTGTTAGTACCTAACAGAAGAGACAAAAGCGTAAAATAATTTTACTCTTGTGAAAGCAACACGTGTTGCGGTTTTTGTAAAACCCTTTATAACGTCCATTGCAGAAGAAGAAGAAGAAATTGCATGAGGAGGGCGCCGTTTTCAGTGTTGCCAAGTCTACTGTTTTTGCAGTAGCTCGCCGGCTTTGCATCTTGAGCCACCGTTTTACTGTTTGGGAGTAGATTGATCCAATTTACTTTCTATTATGATTATCAAATTGATGTTAATAGTTAGTATCCTGAAACGAAATCTACTTCAGAGCATGAAAATAACCTGGTGACACTGTCCGTGACTTAATTTGTCTGTCATACTTTGATGCAGGTTGTCTAGGGTTAAGAAGAAGAAGATTTTTGTATCAAAACAATATATTTGAAAATAATTTCCTATTGTCATAGTATTTTTTTTCAATCTCAAATAAAAAACGTAACTTCTTCAAGTATCGCAACCAATTTCTCAACTTTTGGATGCAATTTTGTATGTAGATGACCAATTCCATGTTTTTGTCGACGTTGAAAATGTTATCATCGATGACAGTGGTGAGAAGAATTCATGTAGATAAATTATTATTGTAAAATTGATTCCATTCGTTCATGTTGCTCATGTGATCTGGAATTTAATTGTTCAATAGAGTTTTTATGTCAATTGGAACATTTTTAGTTATAAACTCAATCTCTTTTTTGGAGTATTTTCTGGAATTGTATGCAGATCTCAGCATATTTGGCACCGTGAAGCCATAAAGGTATGAAAATAGTGTTACGTCTTCCCCGTGGGTTGACTAATAATTGACTACACTGAACAATAATCAAAGTTAACTTTATTTCACTTTCAATACAATAAAACACCTTAACTTCAACTTCAACTATTATTTGAATTCGCGCGCTCTCAACTACGTCACAATTGGTTTATGGCTACCAGTGGCGGCCGGCGTTATTTTCTCTAGGGGATGATTTACAACAATAGGTACTTGACAAATACTTTAAAAAATGGTGAATGTCTCTCTAGAATTGATCAGACACCGAAGCAATGCAAGTGAGAAGGAAAATGGTGTATTCAATTACAACAATTGAGTGTTTTGAAGTAGAAATACAAGTATTATGAATTTTATTTTTATGATATTGAATGGATATATGAGTCAATTCAAAGAACTTGGTAAAATAATGGCACTTATCTCTCAGTTAAGAAAACGGTTTTACTTCTGTTGAAGATGAAATCCAAAGCGATCGTTTTCTACATTTCGTTTAGCCGAATTGCACCCTTCGTGGAGCTGGTTTTTATTGATGTAGAAAGTTCTTACAAAATGTGAGGTCGCTGATACATCAAATCAATTATAAGTTTTAAAGAACCCTTGAATTATAATTTTGTTTGGCATTGTGATGTTTATAGTTGCTCTTTCAACAAATAGTCGTTTCAAAATATGGGGTAGGCGTGTTTTGATTGTTTTATTTCATCGTCTGTAAGCAGGTCATAAAATCTCAAGTTATTATTTTATACCTACCTTCAAAGAATGAAGAATATATGATACCCAAAATGAATTCAAATTGATGACATTTTTGAATAATAAACAGTCAGGAAGCTCTGCCGTTATATCAATAGCTTAAGTGAGAGTGCTAATGAGAGACAATGTTGAAGAGAAGAGAGCTGAAAGGTTTTACAAAATCTTATAAAATTCTTTGGATGCCATTAAGCGTTGTGCTAGAGAAAGTCCAAGTGAATTACTAAGTTCATTCAGTTTAAACTGTGAAATGGAGATTCTAGAAATTAAATATTGTCTATCTTAAAAAATTTTGAGACAGAGTTATTTTAACTCTAGTCCCTTGAGATGTCGTGAATCGTGAGAGAGAAAATCACCACTGGTTCTTTTGTTTCATCCTCAACTATGGAAATACGTACATGTATTCTTTGTAGCTATTTTTCCATCAGATTCGAGTTGATTTGATATTAGGAAATTCAATTTTCCTCGAAAATTTGGTGCTACTGACAAGCGCTGTTAGCTGTTATCATCAATATTTTTGCAAGTAATTATAATTTTCGGGAATTAAGGATTTTGAGATGTTGTGTTGTGTTTTAGAGCGTTACCAGTTACATCAGCTGAGATGGTGATGAAATGGCGATTTTTAAACGCAGTCCGGATGTTTTCCAGAGAAAATAATTTTTTATATTGCACCATCCGTGAGAACTTACATTGTAGCATATCATATCTCTACAGATAAGAAACTTTGATGAATCAAAACCGATCTAACATATCTTGAGAATGACAGCTGAGATGATGGCGAATCAGCTGGTCTGTGTGAATGGAATGAATTCTGAAAGAAAATGTATATCAAGAGGGGTACCTCAAGGCTCTGTTTTGGGGCCATTACTGTTTTTTTTTGCGGACGACACTAACACCTTAGTATCTGCGGGAACTATATCCGAAGTAATTGTCAAAGCTAATGAAGTAACTGATCAAATTTCTGAGTGGTGTTCTATAATAGGCCTGCTGCTAAACTCTGATGAATCTCAAATGCTCAACTTTGTCACTAAAAACACAACAATTGATGAAAGCTATTTGGTTACATTGAATAATGAAACTTTACATCAAGTTAATTGTACTAAATTCTCAAGTGTTGATATTGATAATAAACTTACCTGGAAGTTCCATTTTGATAGTGTCAAACTGAAGCTCAGTAAACATATATATTCACTTCGTCGGTTAAAACAAATAGTCTCTCTTGATGTTCTCAAGCTTTTATACCGCAGTTTAATTCAGTCAACAATTTCCTATGGTCTTGAACAGTATGGCTTATCAGCTAAAGCTGATGAAGTGTTTGTTATTCAGAAAAAGGTAAACAGAATTCTGGCAGGCCATTATTCATTCGTTATAGTTTATTAACAATGCCTAGTTTGTATATCTACTAAACAGTGATATATATATATAAAGAACAATATTTCAATTATTCCTAGAAATAAGCAAATTTATGAACATTTCACCAGAAATAACTCTCAACTACATCAACCTTATAGTAGATTGACAGTATCAAAGAATCACCCCATATGCATTGGGGTTAAGCTATATAATAAGCTTAGTGAGGACACTAAATCCTCAAATATCAATATCTTTAAAAGGCGACTCAAGATTTTTCTATTGCCAAAAGCATACTACTCTATGGATGAGTTTCTCCTTGACCCTTAATTTGATTGTAACTTATTTGATTGTAGCTTATTAACTTTTTTTATGTATGTTTTATATTAACTATTTTATCTTTTTTATGTTTGTTTGACCTGTTGAATCAGCCAGGATTTTATGATAATGTTATGTTGTTTCTTGTCTACTGTGATTGTGAAGGAAAAGTGATTCAATAAATGTTTGCACAGTGTCACAAATCAATGAAAACGATGGCAAAATTGCATGAATTGCTTCCGCGTCCACCGTCTTCTCCAGGACTGGCCCTCAGCGACTTTTTCCTGGTCTCAGACCTCAAGAGAATGCTCGCTGGAAATAAATTTTACGCCGATGAAGAGGAAATCGTCGAAACTGACGCCTATTTTGGGGCTACAGACAAATGGTACTATAAAAATGGTATCGAAAAATTGTATGACAGCTATAACCGTTGGATCACCCTCGGAGGCAACTATAATAAATAATAAAATCAAATTTTATAAATTTATTTTTCTATGTTAACGCACGAACTTTCGCGGAGCCCTTAATGCATTGGTATTTTAGAAAATTTTTGACTTTTTGAAAAATTTGAACACTTTCGACAGTTGCTAAATTCTTGGATTTTAGCAACTGTCGAGTTAATTCAGCTATCAATAATATGTCTTTCTTTTTTCCAATGACAAGATGTCAACAACTTAAAATGAATAAAATTCTTAGAAAGGTGCTAGAAGAACAGATTTTTTATCTTGATCAATATCTTCAGGAAATATACGTATGTGAATCATTTCTTATTTTGAGAAAGGGATATTTTTAAATGATGAAACATTTGAATCTGCAGACATAATTCACAAATGTGTCGCCACCTCTGGGCCAGAAGTTCCACTTCAGAATATATAAATTTCATTTAATACCTTTTTTAACATCATTTTCTGTGTTTTTCAGAATTAACATATGATGGCTTTGGCACAGCCGCCGGTTGGTATGGCTCTGGTTTCAACAAGATAATAATAATAATGTTATTTTCTGTGCATGCCATTAACTGACGGATGGTTTTTCTGATTTCCCTGCAGCTGTGGAATTCTCTCCCGCTTCTCGTGCAAGACTTTACCAAAGGTTAAAGATTTAAGGAAACCGCTTGACTTCTGAATAAAATTTGTGTTTTTGTTGATAAATAAGTGTTATCACAAAATTCAGTTGTAATGGTTCTGTGACGGTTTATCTGATTAATATATTTTTTCTGATATGGCAAATGACATGTAAATTCATTCAGTGATGTCTAATGGAATAAACTAACTTGGCCTAAATCGTCAGTGAATTATTGTCATTATTGTTAAACTGTAACAATCAATTATTCGAATTATTCGTTTTTTATTTGTTTATTTACGTTAATAGAAATCACCGAGTGATGAAGTGAATGTTGGGAATTCCACAAGCGCATTACTATGGAACAACTTTTTCTATGCGTTTTAACGCCTATCAGTGACATTTGAAACGTGTTTATCGGTTAAGTCTCTGTAAATGGTAATAAGTGATTTGTTTGTATTTAAAAAACGCTTTCTGTGTTAACACGGTCTTTAATTCAACTGTGTTAACACTATTCTGTGGAATCTATGGTGATACTGGTGGTGGTGGTTGAATTGAAATTGACAGTCAAAGTAAAATGGTAGACTGTTTTGATTTTGACATCTATTAAAAGAATAACGCGATGGTGTGAGTTTATCATTCATAGATAGGACAATTTTAACAAGATATTAGTAAAAATAACAGATTTCATAGACATAAACACCCTTGAGGAAAAATGCAGCCTCTTGCAGAAAATGCATCAAACATTCCAGCCTTTTTAGGTAAATTGTGGAAGATGGTAAATGATCCTAATACCGATCATTTAATATGTTGGAGTCCGGTAAGTATTTCAAGTTAATATTACATTCTTCCACTTAAAAGAAAATTCAGTGACTGACATCAGTGCAATGTGGTATAAATTTGATCCTCCATTTCTGTTTTTTCACTTCAAGGCTACATTTATTTCTCATTTTCAGGCTGGAAATAGTTTCGTAATTCAAAATCAGGCACAGTTCTGGTATGAGTTACTACCATTGTACTACAAACACAACAATATGAGCAGTTTCGTTAGACAGCTGAATATGTGTAAGTAGAAATTTATATATTTTGTCATGTCAGTTCCCATGAACAAATTTGTATCTTCGTTTCAAGCGAATCAAAACTGTGGAGATAAATGTAGTCACTGTCTTAAATATATTCTGAGTCCTAGATTACACCAATAAATGAGTAATCTTGAAAGATCCTCTTATTCTATCCAATAAGTCCATTTTTTAAATTATATTGAAAAAAAATGCGAATATAGGTTAAAAAACATATATATTCTTCATTTTCAATGTTATATGGAATACAGTTTTCCTCAATTACTCAATGTCTAATGAAGAAACATTATCACACCAGATATCTGTAACTATTTTTTGACTTGTGTTTCTCTGACCAAGTTAAGATAATCAGAAGATTATTCTTACAACTAAATTAGAACTTTCAAAATACATCTGGACAAATCATTACCTCCGGGAATGAGGTTCATTGAATGAGTTCTTAGTATTAATTTTAGTGTTACTCTGGTTTTGTATCTTAATTTCTGATTGTTTTGTTAATGACTACTTGTTACGATACCTAATATTGCCTTGTTTTGTATTTGCCGCTGTTCATAGATATCATTCCACATTTGTCGATTTAAACTTCAAATGAGATCTATGTACAGCAAGAAAGGTTCCATTCCAAAAAGTCTTGGGGAAATATTAGGTATCATAACAAGTAGTCATTAATGTAATAAATAGAAGTTAAGATACTACACGAAATTAGCACAATAATTAGTAAGTACTGAAAATTGATTTAATGACCTTCACTACTGGGGGTAATGGCTCGTTCAGATGTTTATAAAAGGCTTCAATTCCGTTGTAAGGATTGAGATTCAGTCGACTCCTGATGATACTAACTTGATATGTGAAACGCGATGTGAGAAACAGTATTTTTGTTCAAGTGTAGAAAAAGTGTTTTCTTTGGATTAACTCTTTCCATTATAGTAAAGCAGATGTTCCATTACTGCTATTCTTGTTGAAGTTAGTTATACTTGATGAACTAAAGTGTAACATTGACATACATGTAGGGACATACATGAGAAGGTCTTATGAAAATAACAAAAAGCAAAGAGCCTTGAGGCACTCTTTTGGTTACTTCAATTTTTTCTGGTAAAAACAAATGTATACCTACAGTTTGAATTCTGTTTTTTTAATATGAGGTATCTCAGGTATTGGCAAGTGAAAGAATTTTCCTATTTTGAAATATTTATCTAGTTATTACCTCCATCAAAAAACCACACAGTTATCAGTGATTGATATTAACAAACAAACTTTGTGGTTTCACTAAATAAAAATAAAAATGTAACTGGAAAACAAGTCTGTTTTTCCTCTTTAATAGCTCAGGATAGTGAAATGATCAATTTAACTTTTGCAAAATGATTTTTTTGACATATATTTTTTGGTATAGTGATTCCCTAAAGGTGGTTAAACTCACTTGTGAAAAAATTCAATTATCAAATATAAATTTTGTGCTGACGCAAATTGTTGATTCCACGCCTAACGTATTAACTTTATAGAAATGTGTACATAATTATAATTATTCATCAGGGAACATTTTTATAATTGAAAAATAAACACTACTCGACCTCTGAGAATTAGTAGTACCCTAAAAGTTGTAAATGAATATGAACATTCGAATTGTTTTGAGTTGATATCAAAGTTTCAAAAATGACAAAATTCTTTTTTTCAATATTTCAAATAAACAAAAATATTGAGAAGCTTGATGAAGATCTAACCCTTCAAAATATATTATAGACATGTAATGGTGTTTACCAGTTAATGAATAATACTGTATTGCTAGGGAAATGTGTTGAGGAAATAAATAAGAAACTAGCAGCAAATTTGCTAATAGTATGAGTAATACACAACTATTCAAATGACATGACACTGACACGTTTCACTGATGAAATTACCGTGTAATGAAACATATCTTGAATAAAATTCATAGTGTGGAAATTGTACAATTATTATTGTGGATGAATAAAAAATCAAGAAAAATATAAATGTTTTCTGCACTCCTTTAAAAGAAAATTGTGTCTGAATTTAAGGGTGAATCAGATTTTATCCAACGTGCAACGCGAATCTAGCACCTAAATCAGTTTCATGTGATTTTCAAAATAAACTGCTTATTCTTTTATTTAAAGATATCTGTGTGCTCTCCTCTTCTTCTAGGAACTTTATGAAGTATGACGTAGTGAATATGGTGAAACATTCATTTTTTATGTTAGATGGAAACGAATATTTAATGTTGATGGATTCAATGATTATTGCCATTTTATTGAGCTTGTGTTATTTTATAGATGGTTTTCACAAGTTGTCTACCGTGGAAAATGGGACAATGGATACGGAAAAGGATGAAATTCAGTTTTTTCATCGTTACTTCCAAAAAGATCAACCCGATTTACTACAAAACATAAAACGAAAAGTAGTATGTTTCAACTATTAATATCTGATCTTTTTAACTTTAATTTTTATAGGTCACTACATCCAAAACTGAAAACGGTGTTCAAAATATAGCCAAAAATGATGACATTTCCAAAGTGTTGACAGATGTCAAGAACCTTCATGGTCGGCAATCTAGTGTTGATGCCCAATTGTCAGCAATGAAGCAGGAAAACGCAGTGCTCTGGAGAGAGATGGCCAAGTTGAGGAAAAGTCATATCAAACAGCAGCAAATCGTTAATAAGGTATTGCATAATATTAATGAATATTTGGTATCAAGAAGTTTTTACAGCTTCAACTAAATAATAATGGGTACAAGATGGATCTAAGTACTGCGAAATAAGTAAAAATCAGAGAGATAGATAGATATATTTTCACCATGTTACATATATCAATACATCTATGGCATGTCAATATATAAATGAATACAATATATAGTTCACAATGGATAAAATAATACAATAAAACATACAATATTTTAAAACTGTTACATACATAATCAGGTCAGGCATAAATAACATAAACAGAACGGAACAATTCAGAAAAACGATGTGTTGAGTGCATGACTCAGTTGCTTTGTTGTGACCTGAAACTCGTCTGTGGAGTAAAAGTAGTGTTCAAGAATATATTTTTTGTGCGTTTATCTGCAAATGAAACAGAGAAATATTTCATTCTCAGAGTATCACGTTGAACTGTTTTTTTTCAACTGCCTCAAGAGAAACAGAGTTCTTGCTAATTTATTACAGAGCTGTTCTATGTGATTCGACCATGTGAGTTTTGACATCAATAACAATTCCAAGTAGCTTGACAGTGTTTCCCATTTGTGGGTTTATACCGGAGAAGAAGGTTATTTTTTGGGATTTGCTTGCTTTCAACTTCAGTTTGTTTGCAGTGAACCAGTTTTCATCACGTTTTTCAATGTTATTAGAAGAAGAAGTGAGTTCCACATGGTTTCTACCGGTACTCATCAAAGTAGTGTCATCGGCGAATAGAACACCTTTATTGGGTAATAGGAAGTTGCATAGGTCATTTATATAAATGACAAATAAGAATGGCCCAAGCACTGACCTCTGCGGGACACCATGTTTTATAGGTAGAAAGTCAGAGTTCATTTGGTTTACAGTAACACATTGTATTCTATTTTCTGAATATGAACTAAATAACTTCAAAGCCAGATGTAATTAGGTTGTATAAACCGCAACTATTGTTTTTCTCGATTGTCATTTTGACTTGTCACTATTGTACATTTTGTAGTTAATGTGATGAAATAAACTTATCTATCTACCTATCTTTCTAAGACGTGTTTTGCTACAGGTAGCTTCATCAGTTGGACTGGGGTCCACCATTTGAGCTAATTTTACTGATGAAGCTACCGTGTAGCAAAACATGTCTCAAATAACATTAATTCAGAAAATTCTATAATTTGTATCATGGATGTGGGTAAAAATATTGAAATTTTATTTTTTTCTGTTCTGGAAATATGAATTATGATTGAACAGGACTTTGTGTGTTTCTAGTTAGATTCATCGTATCAATTTACCATTCCATAATTGTTTTTTTTTTCAGCTAATTCAGTTTCTGGTAACTCTTGTCCAACCACAGGCTACTACTAGAATAGGCGTGAAAAGAAGAATGCCCCTCATGTTGAATGAGAGCCCAAACAGGAAAAAGAGCAAAAATTCTGACAAGAGTGATAATGAAAATATTGACCAGAATGACTCAGGACCAACAATTCACGAACTGGACAGTGAAATTGAAATTTGCCCTGAGGAGTTGTTTGAAGAAGATTTGGAAGAAACTGGGCTGGTATGTTCCTTTCTAATTCTTAGGTTGAGCAAGTGTGTAATTTTTGAAATGTAAAAAGTACTTTCTAGTATTTAGAACTAAAGTAGTGTTGTAAATAACATCTTGGGTCAACACACTACAGTAACATGATAAAATTTACTGTTAATGATATCTTCTCACGATAAATAATAATAATAATACTTTATTGAAATAGACAACCTAATAAACAAACATAAACTGTTGTAAGCATGACCTTGTACAGTTGTAATTTCACTTGCTTGCAAAAGACTCAACAGGTTTCCCCATTATTAGCCTTTCACTGCATGAAAAAAACATTTTATTTTGAGACAAATAGTAAGTAGGTCTGGAATTTTCTGTTTTACTTCAGGATTTGGTTGCTATCAAAAAGGCAGACAACCAGCTTATCTGTTTCAATTGGCAGAATACTGGGAAATAAGTTTGGACATCAAACCATTTAAAATTTGCTTTACCGTGAAGAGTAATGGTTTCAATGCTAGTATGAATGTATCATTTATACTAAGTCCGGGTTTGAAATTAGTGTGAATTTTAATTAATTGTATGAGCATTTCTGAGATTGTCACGGATGGAGCCATTACAAACGACACCACAGGTCTAATTGGAAAATTGGCTCCACGGAATTTAATAAGGGAGTAGAGTTTAGGCGGTTGTGGATTCATGATCACCGCTTTCATTTATCACGTCCATTCATTGCTAGCTCTATTGATTTCTTGGTTTCCTCTACCTCTTTGTGGTACGGAGTAATAGGAGTATCTCACAGAATATCATAGGTTCCTTAATTAAGGAAATCTAGTATTCTTTTTGTCTATAGCAATAACATTTCAACCTTTTGTTTGCTCTCGTAAACATAACGTCATGATCATTAACTTCTTGCGAAACTTGTTGCAGTTTCGTAAACTGTTTAGTGGAAATCTTACGATGAAGTGTGACATGAATACGTTATGATTTTCATGAAGTATCGGCCAATTCGATCACTTGTTCAAATACTGTCTCATCAAATTCTCAGTAGAACAAATTACAAGAAAATAATCTCAATACTTGTGGCGAAGATCAGCTATGTATCTCTTGTAATTTTGGTTCTGTGTTTTTGTGTGGTTTCTCACAAATTTTGTACCATGTTGAGCAGAGACAGAAAGAAGTTTGGCAACACTTCATTAAGTTGTAAGGCAGTTATAAAGTATTATTTTGTCTGTGATAACAAATACTTTCAAAACCACAATCGTAGACATATATCATTTCTACAGGTGTCTAGTCCCAATGCTTCAGTCACATCACCTAATTGCGAAGTCAATCAACCAAATTCTGTTTCATCATATGACGAAAATGCAGATGGTGCTGCACTAACAGACAATTTTTGGGATAAACCAGAATTTGTTGTAAGTATCGATAAGCTTTGACAAATTTTTTCGTCAGAAGTGGAAACTTTCATCTCCAGTGAAGTTTTGAATGCTTGCGTGTGAAATAAGAATTTATGTTTAGCATAGCATTTTGTGTCGTGGAAAATACCCTCTACTCTTATGAACGGATTTCAGGAAATCTCCCAATTGGATTCTCAAAACCTAGATCCCGATGACCTTATAGTTTGTGACACTGATGTAGTTGAGGAGAGTATTAACAATTTCCAATCAAGCACAAACAGAAACGAAGAAGTATTTCTAAATCCTACAACACAAGACACACTTTTGAGCAACCTTGTAAATGGCAGTTACAATTCGAATGCACTGAAAGGGAAGAGAGGGAAGAAAGCATCCAAAGGGGTGCCTGAAAGTCCAACGAGATTTTTGAATACTGACAACCTAGATGGCAGCCAGGATACGACGGTAGCTACAAGAGATGTAAGAATTAATAATGGGTGAGTGGATAATATAGAAAATAGGGTTTTCTGTTAATTGTACTGGTGATGTTGAACAAATATCGAGATGATATTCAAAAAATTCTTCAAGTCAGATATGAGAATTTCGACACAAATAAATTTTAGAAACATTTCGTAATCAATCAAAAGGTGTGAACTTGCATCATCGGAGATAACTAACTGTGTGAAAGATCATTTCCGGGTTATTTGAACATGATCTGCAGATTCTTATGCCTAATATTTCATCTAGTACTGCGGTAGATATCAGATGCATGAAAACCTGCAGCCACGAAACCCAGAAAATAGCTCTGACACATTTTATGATTACATTATTGACCAAGACGTTTCAAAAATATGTATCCTCTAATTTTTCAACAAATTTTCTCATATCTCATACTGGGAGAAGTGAGAAATGGAAGCTGAACTACCTTCTGGGTGTCGTGAGTATAGCCTTAGCAGAACTAATTCAAAATTTCGGGTAATATTTATACCTAAGAAGATGACTCTTTTCATTAGATCTGTGTGTTCATATCACCAAAGGTGTCAGCTTTCAAAGTTTATTGAATCCAACAAGAATACTTTTCCCACAGACCAGAACTGTAACATTTATCATCAGAAAGAGATCCAAACTGATTCCTAAACTCTAACTCAGTATTTTAAAAGAGGCATTATTCCTATTTTGAACATAAAAATAAGAAACAGTAATTTTGAAAGGATTTTTCCCATTGAACTTGAGACACCTCCAAACCCCTTCTTTTTTTTTTGGTGTATATAAAATAAGCCGTTTACATGAACGGCGGAAGGCGTTACCAAACATCCTAACCTAATTCTACAGAGGAGATGGATGTTGATTAAAATGAATTGAATGAATTTCCTTCTAATTTGTTCAGATATGATTGGTGTAAGACTAAAAGTGAAAATTATAGAGTTCACATTGTTAGATATAAATACGCTAGTAAATAAGAAAGTAGGAAATAGTTCATATCTATTTCTGGTTGGTGGAATATCCGTCAAGAAGAGTTTTACAGTTCTGGAGTGTGAGGGAAGTATTTGAATATTGGATTCATTCTTAACATATTCTTATAACGTTAGTACACTTGGTACTAATGAATGTTCCAGGGAAGATTTAGATAGTCATGTAGTTTCTACTCAGAGTGAGATCGATCAGCTCAAGGATATACTACATGGGTGCCATGGCCTTGACGCTAATTCATTACTTAGGGTAAGTTTTATATTAGAAGATGTTTGGATAACCGCATAGGTTAAAAGTACCTCGTTTGATAATTTTTTTCCTTTTTTTTTTGTTGGGAGTTTTATCAAAATCGAATAAAAACATTTGTCGTGACGTCACTTCCATTAGAAATGAATTTGGCAACACTGTAAAACTCACCCACATCGCTTAATTTAATTTTCTTCTTCTTCCTATATTCTTGTTGTTCTAACTATGTATGCGGCATTGAAAACTTGTTTTTTAGGTCGATTTGAATGTTAGTTTCCTAATTACTTTTTTCTACTTTACAAAAATCATACGTTTTGAAGCATGGTTTGAAAGGAAGGTAAGCCTCAATGATAGTGACGTCACAGTTACTTTTGAAACTTCGATTTTCGAAGTTTTTCATATATTTCGATAGAAATATATTCAATTAAAATTTGCTGAGTTTCAGAAAGTATTACCAAGGGTAATTGAAAATATGATTTTGAGCCTATTATAGTATATTACAGCATAAGTTTCATCCTCATATAATTTGCGAATGATAAAAAGGTATATTTCAAAATAATGTTTTCAGTTCAACCCCAAGAGTCTAGAAGATTGTGCATATCGACGATATTCAAATTATTCACTGTATTAAACATGGCAATTTTATTATAGGGAAATAAATTGATCTCATAATAATTTTTTGTTTTTCAGTTATTCAGTGAAGATGCACCAAGTTTTGGAATCAGCTACCCTAAGAATATTGCTTCAGATCCTATAGCAGGTTAGTAATTATAATTCCTTATCATCTCCCCTTTCCATCATACAATCGAAAGGAGTTTTATCAGTGAATATCGATAAACTTTATGGGAAAGAAATGTTTTGGCTCTCTACTTCTCCATCTTCATATAAGAAAATGTGAGAATCTTTCAAGGAAAGGAAGAAAAAAAATTAAATTTGGAAAAACTTAACTGCATCAGTTTATACTAGTCTTTCCCACAGTGGGCGCCACCTTGTGGGCGCTGGAGGCCTACAGGGGGGCAGTAAAGGGCACAGAGAAGATTGGGGGGCGTTGAAGCGTTTAGGGGGGCGATGGCTAATTTAAAATGTTTTTTTTTGCTTTTAATACAAACTTTACCGCTCCTTTACGCTTAACGCGCGTTTCCTCGTGTAACGCCATCTAGGGCACTAGACAGTAACTATTTCCTATCCGATAGTTGTCAAACTGTACAATAGATGGCGGTAAGCTTCAATGCGAAGCGAGAAGTTTCTAGTCTCCTTTATCGAAAGTAATAGGCCCGCCCGCTGCCTCATATAAAAGCACGCGCGTCATCCAGCCAGTAATGTCATTCGGCGATATTACGAAAACAAGTGAATTTAGTTAGCGACTAGCCAGGTAAAGTGCTGTACGTGCGGTGGTGAATACTGTGAGTGGTGTCATTAGCAAGTTTTTAATACTCGATTCATTACTTCACTGGGACACTGTAATAGAGTTCTTGAAAACAAAGACAAAGGATTGCACGACAACCTCATCACTTCAAAGAATGATAATGCGTACTTGACAGACCTGTATAAATTATTTAATGATGTCAATCTCCAACTTCAAAGTGACGACTTGAATTCGATTAAAACAAAAAATGTCATTGCTGCTTTTGTAGCCAAATTGCTCTTGTACAAGAATAATATTGGCAAATGTGAGTTTCGCAATTTCCCTAATTTGTCAGCAGTATGCTTCAACAACGACGACTTGCTTGTTTACTGCCAACATTTGGAGAACCTCCACAGTGATTTCGCAGAACGATTCCAGGACATTTTAAAATTGGAAATACCGGACTGGGTGTTTGTTGGATTCTTTTTCAAATGTCAACACAGCAGAATCACCCCCAGCTGAAAGAAGAACTCATAGAACTGATAACAAACGAGGAAATAAAACAAATTTAAAAATGTATACCAAGAACTTTGGCTACAAAAGCCAATTCCGCAATTGTACCCTGGATTGTGGTCCATCGTTCAACGATTTTTGATAGCATTCCTATCATCATATTTGTGTGAACGTAGATTTAGTGCTGTGGCAACGTTGCTAACTAAAAAGAGAAATTGGTTGCAGATTAGTTTTAAAATTCAAATAGAAATGTTTGTTTTAATAACACGAATAAAAGTTTTCCTGATATTACAAAATGGTGTTTTACATTATCCTCATCAGAATGTCTTATTTTCACGTGACACACATAATTTAATTATTAAAATAATGACTGCGATTTTTAAAATGTAGTAAAGTAAAAAAAAATTGTGGGGCGCTAGAAAATAATTAATTCTTGAAGTGGGCGGTAGACAAAATAAGTTTGAGAACCTCTGGCTTATACCATGAACCACGACACAGTAGAATAAATATTTATTGAGATATGGTGCCAGCTATAAAAACACATGACATTAAAACGGACAAAACTTTTGAAACAACCACTACACTGTCAATTTGACAGAATGTACACAGCTATAAGAAGGTTTAAATTTTCATTTTGTGACTACCCTTCATTGTTGTTACTTGCTTCTAATATTTCAGGGGATCCGATGGTTTCCGGAACTGAATCGACTGTATGTGACAACAACCTAATCGATTTTGGTGAACTTCTTGACGATTCGTTGAATGAACAAGATGCTATTGCCGAAGATGATGATTCTGATCTTAGTTCTACAGTAAATACGCCTTTGATAATAAAGAGCGAACCGATGTTTCCCAGTCTCGAAAAAGATCTTTAATATCATTTCAATGAGTTTATTGAGTTGCTTCGTTCATTTCAGGAAAACTGTTTGAAATTCATTAGTTATGGTGTAGCAGTTGATTGTTAATAGTTATTGTTGAGCTTTAATTTACAGTTTGGATCAATTTATCACTGTATATGGTTTGAAATAAACCTTTGTATAACAGGTTGTTTGATGACATAAAATTGAGTTGAAGTGGAGCATGTACAGGATGTTTGTGCATTGTGTGCACCATTGGCAATTTTGTTATTATTGAACATTAGCTTTCAATATTACTGGAGTTTTTTCCCAACACCAAAGTGATCATCTTCAAGAAGTTTGATTTTCCTCTTGAAGATGATCACTTGGTGATCGAAACACGCGTCGAGGTGTTGAAATAACGGTTTGGTGTAGTAATATTTATTACTACACCAGAGGTTCCAAACAGTGCATCTCAAGTAGCTTTCAAATCAGCAAACTAATCTAATCTAATCAAAATATGCTTCATTACCCAAGATCTGAACATCTTATTGGCAAAGTCTAGTAAATTGAAACGTGTATACGGGACAGACATTAAATTAACAAATATAAGCTATAAAATAATGCTTAGGGACAAGAGCAGAGTATATGGATAGAACAATATTAAGCCCAGCTGAAGAGATACAAATATAAGAACATGAATATTGAGTATATTCACATATACAATATTGTGGCTTGGTTTCTCTTATTGGATTACCTGACCTTGTTTGTGTATAATTAAGGACAGGTAGCCAGATTTTATTGATGTTTACTGCACCTTCTTTTCTATTGAAATCATCCCTGTATTTTGGAATTTCTATTGCCTCTCTATAAACTCTTGGATAGTAATTTTGAGGTAATATGAGTGCCTAGAGATCATGTTCGGCTACAGCTGATTTGTCGATTTGTTTGAGTAGACAATTTCTCTTGTGTTTAGAGAGACAGGTACCCTTCTTTTCGTGGTTCCAATACAAACCAAACCGCAGCTACAAGGAATCCAGTGTACCCCGGGTGTATAGTATAAAACCAGACCCAAATAGCTGTCTGCTTTGATAAGTTGCTTTATAAAGCTCAGATCAGACCTTTGGAGTATTGTTCTCATGTATGGAGCTCTGCCCCTGAGCATACCCTGAAGCTACTGGTTTCCATCCAGAGAAGAGCCATCTACCTGATTGGAAACACAAACATTATTTGCAACCTTGATAGTCTAAAACATCGAAGAAAGGTTGGAGATGTGTCTCTCTTTTATAGATACTTTCACGGGAGGTATTCGAATGACTTGGCATATTTGATTCGGTCAAGAGCAGTACATATCAGAAATACGCGACTAACTGTGGCTGTTCATCGTTTTGAGGTTCCAACTCATTACAACTCTTTCATTCAGAAAACTGCGTTCATGTGGAATCTCCAGCGATTCAAATCCAATGTGAATCGCTACTTTCGCACAGGTACCGGTCTTAGAGTGCCTAAAGAATTTTCCTGTAGCAAAAAACCTGCAGACCAAGGCCAAAAATCTCCTGCCACGAAAGTTTACATTCTTTGAAGGTCTCACTTTTTAACGTACGGTTCGTAGTGTAAACGATACCACAATTTTGAGTATTCCATAATAACAGAATCACCAATGATGCACTCGTATTCTGGATCAGGCTGTATTCTACATGCTCAAATAATTTTCAGATGCCCTTTATAAACATTACCGGTGAATCTTGTAGCTTTAGAAAAAATGGCTTTTGAATGTTTGCTAAAATTTTGATCTAATTTGGGATTTCAAGATGGAACAGGTTGGAAGCGGGTCATTTGAATATCACTTTTGATTAGTTCGTGTTAAGTACAATTTCGTTCATTTATATCCGGTTAACATGAAATGTAGACCGTTCTGTATTCGTTATCGATGTAAAACGGGCTATGTTGGTGCTGTGGTCTTGTCTGAATTTTGAGAAACTTAGAATAGTAAGTTATATCATAAGAAATGTTTATTTTCTTATATTTAGCTGAGGAACTCCATGATTCACTGTAATAGCTGACGACATTACGTCACAAATTTTTGTTGTCTGTTTTCTATTTGTAAGGTATCCTCTGATCCAATTGAATACTTTAGCCTCTACAGCTCAACAAACACATACTACGGATGGGAGTCAGAATAATGATGATATTCCAGAGAGGTGCAAATGACATGCCCAAAGTTCAGGTGAAAAACACCTTACCACTTGCCTCTCATGTGAACCTACGACTTTGTAGACACCATACTGAACCAACTGCAGATAGAGCTTATGACTAAATGGAAATAATTTTGTTTGTTAGGGATAACAAGGATGGTTCACTTCGTCTGAAATGACCTGCCCAGTACTGACGAGGAGCAAGTACTCCGAACCCGGTCTATCAGTAGTCGATCTGACCAAATGAAATTAATTCCTACTTTTCATATATAGGATTTTTATCTGTTCGATCAGTGTCATTTTAAGGCATAGAATTTTGTTATATTTATCAAATTACTAAATATATATAATTGTTTAGGGTACTTATTCTTGACCTTCCACCTCACCCCTTGTCTCTCACCTACGACTTTGTATCGGTGGTCGTCCTGACCATCGATAGACCGGTTTCAAAGTACTTGCTCCTCGTCAATACTGGGTAGGTACTGCAGACTGAGTTAACCATCTGAGTATCCTGAGCAAACAAAATTAATTCCAACTAGTCATAAGCTCTATGCGCAGTTGATTCAGTAGGATGTCTACTTCACCACCTGCAGACTAAGTCTGGAAACATTTTTTTGATTGATTTATTCATTTAAGTAGGACAATCCTAATTTACAAAAAATAAAATAGTTGACATACTTATTTTACACTAAATATAACTTATAATAAATGTAAGTATGAAGATATATAATAAATTTGAGTATAAATATACATATACACACGCATATATACATATCTATAAAGTTAAATACAGTTTAGAATAATGGTGGCATCTTTTTTTTCCTTTATTATAAAAATTTAACTTTTATTGTAAGTTCTAAACATGTTTTGAAGCTCTATGACTTCTATTTGATTATCTGCGAGCGCTTTTGACAGCTGGTCGTGCTGTCATCCTCTAGGCTCTAGGCACTATTCTATCTGAACGTGTTATCCTGTTGTGTGTCTNATACTACGGATGGGAGTCAGAATAATGATGATATTCCAGAGAGGTGCAAATGACATGCCCAAAGTTCAGGTGAAAAACACCTTACCACTTGCCTCTCATGTGAACCTACGACTTTGTAGACACCATACTGAACCAACTGCAGATAGAGCTTATGACTAAATGGAAATAATTTTGTTTGTTAGGGATAACAAGGATGGTTCACTTCGTCTGAAATGACCTGCCCAGTACTGACGAGGAGCAAGTACTCCGAACCCGGTCTATCAGTAGTCGATCTGACCAAATGAAATTAATTCCTACTTTTCATATATAGGAATTTACTTGCGACGAAACTTCCAAATGGAAACGTTGCACAGGTGCTAGCATTAGCTGCGCAGAGAGTTGAAGTAGCTGTGTTTTATATCTGAGGGGGACTATTTTAAAGGGGACAAAATAGAAATTGATGAATATAAATGTGTTTTTGAGGAAAATGAAAATTTACCTTATTTTTTCAACAGACCCCATATACGTGTATATAAAGTTTGATATTTTATTAGGAAATATTTCTCTATTATTTTAACTAAGTTGTAACAAGTAGCGAAGTATCAAACATGTGCATGAGTTGTGAAATGAAATAAAGTTATATAGGGAGAAAGAAGCACTTAGAATGCAGAAAAGTGAAAAAAATGTTTAATAATAATCAGTACAGAAACTATGTCAATAAATAAAATTCAAACGTGTTTTTTCTGTTTTTCCTAGGAAATATCACAGTTCATATGAACGGTTTACAAATTGCTATGGAATGGTCAATTCCAAAAAGAGCCTGGGAAACAAAACCTCCTATTGCCAGCTGGAAACAAAATATATTGATAAAAAAACGCCAAATGTCTTCACGAACTTTTGTTACCTTCAGCGGAAAATACTGATCATTCTGATGTCCCAAGCCTAAGCATCCATGTTTATTTCTACCCCATATAAATAAATCACCGCTATTTGTTATAGCTGCGGAATGGTACAATCCACAGGCAACTTTTTCTACTCTGCTCTCTGGTGAGAAATCATTCTTTCCAAATAAAGTTTCTGGTATGTGAATTGGCTCCTTGGACTGCTGAGCCTGTGGCCCAGCTCCCAATAAGCCATAACCCCATGAGAAAACTTGTCCGTCATCTACAAAAATTGTATGCGAGTTCATCAAAACAATAAACAACATCTACAGAGAGTCTCACGAAATCTTTCAAAGGCAATATCCCCATTATGAGAAAAGATAGAATATCGTCAATAATTAATTTGAATCAGTTATTTGGGAGAAGCCTCTTTTCTCTCAATCAAAATGTTTTTTCCACTTTGTCAAAAGTTCTGTTACTTTTATGGCAGGGAAAAACTCTGCTTGAAAATTTTTCTGGCACCCTCCATAAATCAACATGTCAACATATTCATCAGGCGTACATGTAAAAAGCCTCATCCTACTTCAGCAATGGGTTCTTTCCTCTACGCCTGCTAATTTTTATATGAGGGGAACAATTTGTTTCCTTCAATACCATATAGAATGGTCTAGACCAGGGGTCTCCGAACTTTGAAGCCTTCGGGCCATAATGATTTTTTCAGTTTGTTCCAAGGGCCAATTTCTGCCCTTAACTATATTTCTAGACTAGGATAGTCGCAAAGTGCGTGACCTAAGCAAACTTACGCTTTTTTGCGTTTCAATTATTATTGTGTATTATGACACTTAACGACATCTAGTGGCGAGTAGTGGTACTAT